AAAAAAATAAGAAAACCCGCTTTTCTCGTTTTTTTTTTTACTTTTTTTTTTTTTTTGGATTGATTAAGTGATTGATTGATTGATTGATTGATTGATTGATTGGTGGGGGATGGGTCGCCCCCCCAACCCCCACTCAATCACACACACACACACACACACACACACACACACTCACACACACGCTCACTTGCTTGCGCCGAAGTTGCGCGGGGTCCCGCCCGCGCAACTTCGGCGAGAAAGTGAGTGTGTGTGTCTGTGTGTGGGAAATGCGCGCCCGCGCGCGCGCGCGAGAGAGAGAGAGAGAGAGAGAGAGAGAGAGGTACGCGCGCCGTGGAGTGGAGGGAGGACCCCTCCCCCACCAACCAATCAATCAATCAATTAATCAATCAATCAATCAATCAATCAACCAATCAATAAATCAATCAATAAATAAACAGTCAATCAATGAATTTTTTTTTGTTTTCTATTGATTTATTTTTTTTTTGTAGTGTTTGAAATCCACCCCCCCGTTTTCGAAATTTTTATGTTTTTTTTTTTGCGAGGAGGTAGGGCCCCCCCACCCACTCGAGACCCGTTCCCCGTTCCCCGCCCCCCAACCCCCCTCCCTGATTCGCAGCGGCATCGACCAAAAGTTCTCGGCCGGCCCGGCCGCGGCCGGGGGGGTCCCGGCCTAGGCCACCGGCCGCGGCCTGGGCCGAACCAGGCCGTGGCCACCGTGCAATATAGCACACAGACACTCTCATCACACACAGACAGGGAGATGTCTATGTGTGTAGAGAGTGCATCTGTGTATGAATGTTTTTGCTGAGAACAGCCTGTGTTTGTGTGTGTAGAGAGTGCATCTGTGTGTGTTTTTCCCTGGGAAAACACACACTGATGTCGGGAAGGATCACCATCACACCTCCCCCACCGTATCTGATTTTTTTTTTTTTTTTCTTAGAAAAGCCTGAAATTTTTGTTGGGGGGATCCCCAAGTGGTGCGCAGACCCCACCCGTTTTTTTTTGTTTTTTCGTTTTTTTTTTGGCAAAAAAATTGTTGTCCGATTTTCTAGACAACTTCCCCCTGACCGTCTCCGGGAGACGTCTGGGAGAGACGTCTCCCCATCGGACAACTGGTACCATAGTTCAAGACTCTTTTTACCTACAGTTTTATCTTGTTCTTTATTACTTTCTACCTTCCCTGCTCTTTTAACACTAACTCACACCTACTAGCCTTCCTAGTTTACGTGCCCCTAATTAGTACCCCTACTATGCTTAAATATTTGAGCCGACCTCTTCGTTATTTAGATCAAAACGAGATTGGCTCCAGACATCTTCCCGGATTTCTTTACCATTCTACCCTTCCAATCTCTTCAGCTGACATCCAATCTCACGTCCATGAGTCATATACCATTCCAAACATTATAGGGATACCGTTAATGTATGCCTTGATTTTATGTTCCGCCTTAAGTCTTTCCCAATACGTCTGCCTTGGCTCCATGAAATGGACACGGACATAAGCATTTACCATAAATAGGATTTCCTCAAAGTCCCTATTAGCCATTTTTGTTCTCATTTTCAAATATAGGCAATAAAGGGTTTGAGGCGTGAAAATTTCACATCCTCTCTGAGATGCCGCTTGGCCTGCCAAGGCTGCTTGTTCCACGTTTACGTGTCCTTTGAAAGCTTCATCAATGATGAAGTCCGGAAGAGTGGCTATTATATAGTCGGTGGAATACACAAAATCTGATGCCCACGTTGCTTCTATCATTGGTATGACTGGTCAGAATTCCCCCCAGCTTGCCTCTCTTATTTTGTCCTCAAGGACCGTCCCGACAATTAAGATGCATCGCGATAGGGGTTGACTATGTCCAACGATCAGGTCTACCCCGTACATCCTCCATAGATGCGACGAAAGATACTAGGTTGCTCGTACTATTATACTTTCTCTATCTGGGGTGTGCCCAATTTCTACCCATACAAATGCTTCGGGCCCGATCTAGGTGCCCCACCATGCGGTGATTTCTACTTAGGCCTCAAGGAAGTGACATCTTCAACCCCTATTGAATACGAACGGGCAGCTCAACCCCAAATCCCTGATTGGTGTACGACATCTTGGGCGATCTCCGGTGGCCTGAGCGGTGCAAAGGAAGAGACAAAAAAACAGACAATACTTATGCGTAAGTTCTATTTAGTACCGACATATCCTTTCCCATT